GGGAGTATAACCATTTGGCCTAACTGATTAGCTTCTATGTCTCGTCGTCCAATCGCATCTTTTAAATGAATATAACTATCTGCACGCAATTTGGCTTGGTTGTTTTTGATGTAATTTAGTCTTTCAGTTTCAATTTTGGCGTATTCATCTACTAAATATTGACTGAAAAGAGAACGATAATTAACTAAATAGTTGTCTTCCCCTTCTCTGACCATTATTCTATATGAGTAAAAACTTGATGCAGAGACAGTTTTTTTAAGCGGTAACTTGGTTTTTGGATCGCGTTGTGGTATATTGATTGCATACCCATCATCCCCCCAACAAAACATTAAAGGATACTGCAGTGCGTCGTATGCTCGATGTATCTCACTGATACGGTGAAGTGAGTTACTTCGGTTTTCGAGGATGATGTCTCTTCGATCAAACTGCTGATCTACTAACACTAAAGCAACTTCATTTGCCGTTGGTGCATTATACCTGCCTCTATGTTCTTCTGGTGGTTTTTTATCTGCATGTATTAAACTTTAAATGACTCTGAAGGAGGTATTTTATCTATGGTAAATTGTAATGATCAATTGTAAATTATGCGGTGGCATGCCTAGTAAATCCAATGAGTTTAAAAACTCTGTTGGATAATTTACAACTTCAGTAGCATCGCAAACTGTATCTAGATTTGTATGACACCAAGTTTTCTGGTAACAAATTTTGTATCTTGAGATTCAATTCGTTAACCTCCACATTTTTTGCTACTAAAATTGCTCTTTCTGCCAGCCACTCATGATTAGTGTATTATCTGTGTACACTAGGACATATCTGGTCAATGAGAGCATCTTGCGAATAAATGATTGTGCAGAAATCGTTCGGTAATTTTATACATCCCGTTTCATCTGTAGTAACTTTCCCATCTCCAATATCTAACAATTGTTTTGAGAATCTTTTGCACGGAGCTTTTTTTGATTGAATCGAAATCGAAGTATCGAAATCGTTCGCTATCTATCTTTATATATATTTCGACCATGAATTGTTGACAAAGCTTATGCATCGTAAAATAACTTAGTCCTGATCGCGTCTAATCATCAACCGATATGCATAATAATTTTTTGAACTAACATTTTTATTTGTTTTGGCACCTGTTGCGGGATCTTTTTGTTTAATATTTATGCAATACCCGTCATTTACTACCAACAGTAAAATTAATAGTTTTAAATAGTTTTTTAATAATTTTTTAATAGTTTTATTTAATATAATTCTTTTTCAATAGCGCAGTTATCGACCTGGTCAAAAAATATTAAACCGATTTCAACCCTTGAAATTCAAAATTTCGAAAAATCCTTTCTTAGCGCACGTCTATATCATAATAGCTATCTGTATGCCAAATTTCAGCCAGATCCGTCCAATGGTTTGAGCTGTGCGTTGATAGCAGTCAATTAGCTTACTGTTTTATATATATATATATATATATATAGAAGAAGAAAATAGAATCTGAGATATTTAGTAGTCTCTAGGTATCGTGATCGTGATTACGCTATTTATTTATTAAAGTTAATACACGTCTCACGTCTTTAATATATTCGAGTAATTTTTTTCCATGACGACTGACATGACTTCTTAATATATTTTAATAATACCATTTATCATTGATTAATATTTATACTTAATCAATGGCTGTCAATAATCAGCTATAATAATGGACTATAGCAATCTGATTCTATAAGTATAATATATTAATATTATCATAGTTCATAAACATTATAGTAGTATTAATTATTAACGATAACAGTTTCCCAAAAATGTAGAAAAATACACCCACCCCATATTTTTGGGAGTGAAGTGCATCTTTTGTAATTACATCCAAGCCGCCTCTGTAACTAATCATTGAAAAGAACATGCAATAGAATAAACAAGCTATGGTTATTAAACTCTATTGGTTCAAAAATCATTCATATCTCAAACATTTGTTGTAAGGTAAATCTGTAGAGAAGCATCATCATAATATGTTTCATATAAATATAGTTGTTCTCTAGCACACATTTATGGCAATAGTAAAATAATATTAAAGGCATAACGGTATTCAATTCTGTGTTCATGCATACTTGAATTGATCAGTAAAATTCCACTATTATCATACATAATTTATTTTAAATTATAAAAAGATAATTAATACATTTATAGTTCTCCTAAATAAGCAGGAAAATTGATGAGGGTTTATCAACTTTAAATGAGAACATATTATTTTATAACATGACATACTAGTATATTATACTATATATTTTTTAAGAAATGTTAATTTTTAGCTTAATTATAGTATACAATTTGTTCTTTACAATTCAGAAATAGAATAATTAAAATTAAAATATTATTAAAAAAAAAAAAATACATATAAAATTAATTAGATAAATAAATTAATTAATTAATAAATCAATTAATTTATTATTAATGGTAGTTATAATTTAATAACCTGACAATATATAATTAATTATATATATATATATATATATATATATATATTTAATTCACAAATGAGTATAATAGTCTCTGTAATAATAGTAATTACAATATTTGTCTTAATTAATCAGTTCAATATCAATTCTATTTTTTTAAGTTTACAGTAAAAAAAGTTGAATTGAAAAAAAAAATAGAATATGTAATTAATTTTTAAGTTATGTATAAAAATTTAAATAGATATTATGACTGTAACTATATATTTTTACTATTTATAAATATCATTATTTTTTAGGACCCGATTAAGATTTTGAAGACTTATTATCATTTAATAAGTCATCAATAGCCTGGTCATCGTTTAATATTTGAAAATGGAAAACTGACAGTATGGAATTAATGAAAATGTTTATAAATATGAAATACATTTGTAAAATTTTTCTAACTTATGTAATTTTAATTACAGTGAGTTATTAACAATCGATCAAATACTGTATTATTATATTTTTTAATTTAATTAAAATAAACTATTTTACAACAAGAAAATATATTTAATTTAAACAATTATCCAATTGGATACTAACATTAAATGTAAATAATTATAACGATATATTTTATTTATAAATTAAAATTATTATTGTATATTTAATTAATACTTAAAGTAATAAAAACATTTAAGAAACACAATAGAAATTACAAAACAGTATTTCATTAGAAAAAAAATTATAAAAAAATATACATTTATGTTGTAGGTTTGAATACTGTATTTTCAATAAGCCTCAACAAATCCACAACATTAGGTCTGGATTTAACATCTTTTATCAAACATATTTTCATTGTTTGCATAAGTACGGGTGGTATACCTTTAGTAAATATTTTACTATGACTTGGGAAACTGATATTTTGCTTAGATTCAGCAATAGCTTGCAATTTTTGCCAAGTACTAGTCAAATGTGAATATGGAGTCTTCCCATAGATCAGGCTATATAATATACATCCAAGTGACCACACATCTGATTTTTGGTTTATCTAAATTAAATGGATTTTTGAGTTCAGTATTGATATTAAATAAATAAAATTAATTGAATTTATAATTTACTTTATGCCCTTGGAAATTTGAACCTCCACTTCTTATACATTCTGGGCTCATGTAATTCCAAGTTCCTGTAGTCACATCTTTCAATACACTTGTCATATCTCCTTGTATTTTTGATGCTATACCAAAATCAATCAATTTTAAACGACCACTGACTAAAAGGAAATTTGCTGGTTTAAGATCTGAGTGTATAACACCTGTTAGAAAAATAAAGTACAGTTTAATTTGCAAAAGAAGACACAATTTTTTTTTTAAAAGTACTTAATACCTACATTGGATTTAACTAAAATATATGTATCTAATAAAAACACACCTTTAGCATGAATTTCATTAACAATAAACAACATTTCTGACCAATAGTACATTATCATGTGTATTGACATGTGCTTTGTATTGCGAATGAGTTTAGAAAGATCTGTATCACCTTTTTCCATAACCATATATAGTATTTTTTCTTTTTTAGTATATTGACTGAAAAAGATATATTAACGGTTTCACATATTTTTTAAATGATAAATTTTATTTATATAAAATATATAAAATATATTAAAAGACGTAAAAAAAATTACCTGTCAAAAAGACGTATCACGCTTTCACCATCCTGGAGATTTTGTAACAAAGTAACTTCATTTAAATAACCTTCAGCTATAATATCTTCAACTTCAGACAAATCTACTTTTTTAATTGCAACTACATGATTAGTGTGGGGATGTAAAACCTAATTGCATAAAATAAGTTTTATAGAATTAAAAAAACCCTATCAAGATCTCATTATATTATAATTATCAAATACATATATTTTACCTCATACACAATACTTGATCCACCATGACCAAGTGTATTAAGTATACTATAGTTAACTCCTTTAACTGATATAAAGTTTTCACTGGCACATTTAATACACACATTTCCAGATGAATTAACTGGTCGTTTAAATTCTCCATCTTGAACAAATTCAACTGTAGTAGGGTGAACAGGTGATCGAACATTAACTACAAAATTGTTATGTTTAGCAGCAGGAGACAGTTCAAGAGTAACATGATTTGATTTTCCTTCTAAAGGTTGGCATCCTAACTGCTTATTCAATAAAGAAGAATCAATTTTTGAGTTAGCGGATTGATTTGTAGACATAGATAAAAATGATGAACTTGGAATGGCAGTTGTCTCTCTAATACTGTGATACAAACTAGTATCATGATTGTATCTTGATGTTTCAGGTGAAATAAAACATGTCTCATCTTTCTGATTGATTAAAGAATGATTTTCAATTTCATTTAAATTTTCTTTTACTGTTTGTGAACAAGATATTGTACTAGTATTACTATAAGAACATTTTTGAGTTTCTGATGTTTTCACTTCTTCTTCAATTTGTTCTGGTATATTTTCTTTATTGCTGTATAATGTTCTTTTAGTACTCAGTGAAAGATTAGGTCTACTATATGAGCTATAATTATTATTTTTACACAAGTTAGTAAGTGTAGGAGTTGCTATACCACTATCATTTTGAGTTTTTATTGCTGGACGGACAAATGGAGTATCATGAACTAAATCAAGTTTTTCAAGCCCATGAACTAAATTTTCAGGTGTGCATACTTTAAATGAACCTCCTAAATCTGCTTCAGCTGTTTTATTTTCAAATAAACTTCTATTGTCAGATATGTGTTTTAATGATCTACCTTTTTGTCCCAAACGGCTAGAAATAAAAAAAAATTAATTATAATAAATTATATTATTTTTATAGTAAGAATATAATTATAATTAAGTATCAGCAAATGCATATATCTTATATTTTAAAATATTAACATACCTAGTAATTGGTTTTCTTTGTCTAGCAAATTTTAATTGCAATAATGGACATGTAATATAATTATCAGTTTCATCATTTTCCTCAGTATTATTGAAAAATTTAGATTCCATACTATGATTCATCATGATCTATTAAAAATTAAAAACATTTTATAGTTAAATAGAAAAATATTTTATAATTGTATATTATATATGGTTTCGACTAAAATTAATTAAAGGAATGAATATTTAACATTTGTTAAACATAATTTTCTAAAAATAATAATATAAATAAGTAATTTGAAATATTCTATCACTCAAACAACCTTAATTTTGTCAAATCAAAACAATAAGACAAATATAGTATAACCCCTATATCAATATTGAATTAAAATGTATAAGTGGATAAACCTTAGGATTCAAATTTATAACTTTGTAATTACATAAAAATAACATTTTATTTTCACACGAAACACTTTGTTTACAAATATGCACAGAATTTCAAGACAAACATTTGTTCTAGATACCCATACACAAAGGTTCGGTACATTAATTACAAATTTACACTAATAATAATAATAGCAAGTATTATGTTAAATATTAATGAACTTACCGTTATACATAAATTCAAATGATGATGTTGACGCCGCTAACTGTTCGAAAAGCACCAAATAATACTAAACGGCACTGTGTTATCAGTGTTCATGTTATCATTTTCGTGCGATGCGAAGCGGTTTAATTCTGAGGCGGTGCGTTGTGCTGCAGTAATGGTTGTCGGTGGCGGTAGGTTTGCCTCCGTGTTCAATCGACTGTCTGCGTCATCGCGTTGGTATTGTCACCAATTGTATAAAAATATATTTTATTTATTATATATTGTTATACATATATTACATTTTATTTTATTTTTAAAATAATATTTTCATATAATCTGTGGTATTGCAGCGCGTAAATGTCCGTAACTCAAGTTTTCATTTTTTTTTCGGTTATTTCATACAAAATCTCTAGTCATTTTCTCAGTGCCACAAAGTTTCATAAGTTCGCGTGTTCTTAGTTTAGTGTGGTGGCACTGAGACCCGTCTTCTTCTTAATGGTGTTCGGCGGCTAAAGCTTTCGTGATGAATTTCGGCATCACTCCTCGCTGTCCACCGTTCGTTTGTCGGAGTTTGCAAATCACTTTTCGGGTTCGTTTCTTTTGCAGCGTTTTCCCAGTCAAACCACTATTTCGTCTCGGTTTGTATTTTGTCGGTCGTTTTTCGCAATTGCCACTTTATTTATGGTTTTCTTTCTTCTAGGGCCATCACTTACCAGCGGTCATTGTAAATTATGTGGTTTTGTCATTTCGTCTTCTTCGTGCGCTATAACGGGACTTGCGATCTTCGTGGGCAGGTGTTGGCATACGAGCACGTTTTTGTGATGTCAACTTGTTATTTTCATTGTATTAGTTTTCAATAACTACAGACCTCGGTACAACTTGTGTGTCACATATGTCATGTGAGTATTGGTCGACCCGGTATATTAGTTAATTGTATTGAAAACCGACGGGTCTAGCTGCTACCAGCTTGTTGGTATTTCACCATTATTTTGACCATTGTGGTGTGTCATATTAGATAAATTGTTATCCGTTATTGATATTAATTTATTGCACCACAAAAGCCATATTTTTATTTGATCATACACATTGTTAGTAAATTCATTATTATTATTGTCTTGCCTAACAGGAAATTTACACTTTTTACACTTTATTATTTATTTATTACATTAAAAATATAAAGAAAAACTATCACACCTTGATAACATGCAAACAAGTCTGCTTTATATAACTACGGACACTTGCCATTCCATCAGAGGGACTATGATAAAATTAAAACAAAATTGATGTGAAACAGTAACAATTTCTTACGATTTATGCCTATAATAATAAATATTTATTATTATAGCAGACGATTAAAATACATTTGACTTTGTGGATTTTTATTTACAATGCATTGTTTAATCCACAGTCATGAATTACAGTCATGTGTGTTTGCTACATTATCAAACCAATCGATCCTTATTGTTGTAAATCTTCAGTACTTTTTTATTTCATTTTGTATTTACTGATGACAATTATTGATTAAAAAGAGTTATCCAAATGGTTGAGAAATATCAAAACCTTCCAAGTCATCCTTTTAGATTATAACAATTTTGCAATTCAAGACACTGAGACAAATAATATAGCTCAAGTATATCTAAAGAAAATTATTGAATTCTCTGAATAGTTCATGGAATTTTTAAGTCAAGTAGAAATGCTTGAAAACAATTTTCCCTAACAAATTATGCAAGTCAAGGCTGTATTTTTCAAAACCCCAGATGACCATGTTTGCAAAAAGGAGAATTGTAATGCAACAGAACACGGCATGCTGACACAGGTACATTATATATGCTCCAGGTTATATTTCCAGGATATCATTCGTTTAAACTGAATTTAAATTCATGACTACTACCGCTCACTGCTGTAAGAAAAATAATGTTGCACCAAATACTGTCTCGCCTGTCAAAATGTTTGGAACAGTCCTTTTTTATTTTCCTTAAGTTTTATTCAGTATTTGATTTTTTTTGTTCTACTGATGTCACTAAAACCAGTCATGGAATAGAGACAGCTTCTTTTAACTTATTTTATTTAACTACTCAATCAACCATACATTGCTTATGAGAGTCAATTCTATCCGTCTTAGGAATTTTTCTTGAATGTAATATATCTTTCTCTTCATATATAAATTTATTTACTAATAAAGTTATCAAAATGTTAGGTTTCATTTACAGAAACACAATTTCAAAAATATGAAACTTAATGAAAATATTAAATTTCTAACTTTTTAAGTCTTACTTAAAATTTGGCTCTATAGTTTGGTCACCAAATTATGCTCTCTATATTAATCAGATTGAAAAGTTAAGTATAAATTCCTCAAAATGAATCTTGTAATAAATTTAATTTGGCTATGAACACATGGAGACACATCATCTGGGAGTGATTTTATGCGAATTAAGAAGAAAAGTTACAGACTTGTTCTTGTTAAATTTACTAAATGATAACCTAGATTCCCCTTAACTACTTTTTCTGATTACTTTTAACTTATTGTAAGAGGTCACACAATTTGTTCATCATCCTATCTTAGAGTGCTAACTAAGGTTCTCTCATTGTCTGCATCTTTCTTTCCCTGTGTTCTTTATTTAGCTAATAGAATTATTAACCAGATTTATTTTTTAAGTCATACCATGTTTTTAAACACAATGTTTATGTAGAATTAAGTTCTTCTGTTGATTATTTATAATTTTAGTATCTTATCTGTTATTTTTATAATGTATGTCATTTATTATGTAGTTGTTACTGTTTTAAATTTTAGATTTGTCACGTAATTATTATGTACTAAACTATAATTGTAATGTTCTAAACTGTTCTTAACCTATTATAATAAAAAAAAATTTATATATTTTATATAATATTGTTTATTAAATGAACCCATTTATGTTATAAATTTTGTAAGTTTGTTTTGTAAATTCAAATGATCTAATGTATTTGTGTATTAAATAGTATGCTGTTTTTTTTTGGCAACTTGCATGGTGGGCTACTCACATTTAAATACAAATTGTTTCTCTCTCTAAAAATAGTTGCAAAATCACACAATAACTTTAAAGCCAATTCCATATCATCAGCGAAACACCGCAAAATTTCAATTATGTTATTTCATTTTAGTGTTTACCAAAAAAAATTTGAAGTGTTATTTATAATTTACTACCTTCACATACTTTCATGAGGGAAAATCTGAAGATATCTTCAAACACTTATTAACTGATCCACACTTTCTTCTTCGTCGTCAAATAGACGTATTGCTTGAAGCTGATATTTTCCTTAGAATACATTCAAGCGACAAATATTTACTGTCAAATAAGGCTTCTCTTCTACCAAATTAGGTTGGGTGGGGTGATTAGAAGATTGATTCAATTGTCATTCAAAATTTGTCCAATTGCTCTCAATGTAAGCAAGGATTCTACTTTTTCTTTTATTCATTTAAAAATCAACTCGGCGATCTCTCGAAAAATTAAGGGTAGAAAAATATATTAGCGCCACAGTTTCTCGCAATAGTAATGGTAGATTCGTGATCAATTTACCAAAATCCTATGGTATTTGGAGAGTCCCGCACAAATACCCAAAAGCTATTTTATAATCTGGAAAGGTATTTTGCAAAGGATTTTTCAGTACTTAACCATTACAATTTTATTATGGAATATTTGTTACTTTGACATTTTCAGTATCTAATTCTGTCGTCGATAAACTGTTCATGGAAGAATATTAACAAGAAAAACTATACGTGGTTGTAGCTAGTACTTACGTGCAAAGTCTAAATTTGTATCTTAATGGTTCTTCTAACACAGGGAAGTCCAACCCCCGGCCCGTGGGCCACATGCGGCCATCGATGCCTTTTTTTTTTGCCCCCCCCCCTACAATTAAATTAATTATTTATTTTATTAATTAAAAATTAAAGTCACAATAATATTTTAACAAAATCGTGATATGATTGTATAAATTTTAGATTTTATATTTATACTTTATGACGTTTATGCTGTAAAACGTAGGAATACGACGGGAGTTCCCGTGATAAGACACGATGGACGGCGTGAACTCTATTCACAATCGCAAGCATTAATAATATATAATAATGTGCCCATAATATAAAATTATAAAATAAAATATAAATAGACGAAATATAATTTTTTTTTCTTCTGGTGGCCCCCGGTGTGTTTAAGAAAGTGTAAATTGGCCCGCGAACCACAAAAAGTTGGACCACCCTGTTCTAACACATAAGCGTGTTATTAAAAGGGAATTTATAAGAAATGGCCTTGATTTTTGTGGTTCAATTATGGTTGTAATAATATACGGAAAATTTCTCCTTCAAAAAGTTATGTTTACGTTTTTATCTGTGTGCTAACCAGAGCTGGAACTATGATTCCTCTTTTAACTACCAAATATTTTCTTGCCAAATTATCATGGTTTTTTATGGCTATAAGAGGACAATTCCCTAATGTTTATAGCGATAATAGCTCTAATTTTATTGGTGCCAGTTGTATATTGAAGACCTACTTGGCACAGGTCATTAATCTTAGATGTGGAACGATTTTTGGTCTGCTCAAGAGATTAAATGTAGTTTATTCTCTCTATTGCTTTATGCGGGTTATGGGAAAATGTCCTGAAATCAGCGAAAACGTGAAATATCCGAGTAACCATAAGATTCTTGCTAAAGTACAATAAACCTTGCTTTGCAAAGAAGCTGCACAAGTTAAAAAATTTTGTACATGCTGGAGAAAATAATGTCTGCCTTAAATTCAGCGAAGGATTTAGTGGACTAAAGGCTGTTAATGATTGGCTATTTTTAGTGATGAAACTCTACTGCCCACACAATGACTCATGGTAGGTACTGTTATCTAAATTCATTCTGGCGCAGACAACATTGTAAGGACTGTGACCTTAGACAACTCATCTATTTCAAAGATCAAACGTCCTATTGTTAATTAATATGATTTTCAATGAAATTTCTTAGTTTTGGAATTTATTATGGGCAATATATAAGAGATGTGCGGGCAGCCTGTTATCGACTGCTTTCGAACAATGTATAAATATTTTAGGAATATTCGACAAACGATCATCTGTTAAAATTACAATAATTAATAATCGATTACATAATAATGGCTTATTGGATATTTATCTCTAATAACACGTCCATATCATGGTTTAAGAAATAAATATAACTGAGTTTACTACAGGAATAGGAGGACTAATATGTAGTTGTCATATTTTCAATACTTAGCATCTCAATAATATTAAACACACTTCATTAAATTAGATGATAGAATTTTTGTAATTTTTTAGAAATAATTATTGGTTATATTGAATTAACTTTTGATGAAATACATTTTGTGTTAGTATTTATTAACTCAAAAATCATTAAGGTACAACAAAGTTTATTTTATAAAATTTTACATAAATATAAATAACATACATAATACAACAGATATTATTATAAAATAATTGAAAAAAATTAAATAATTTTTTATTTGTATATAGTTCATTAATTTTTAATTAGAATTCAAGAATTTCTTCAGGTGGTTTTGTAGTTAAATAAAATGAAGATATGGAATTTGAATTTCTGATTGAAATTCCAACATTACTATGTTCAATAATTTGATTGAAAAGAAATTCTAACAATTCTTTTACCATTTCCGTAATTCATCTATTATAGATATTAAAAATTTAATTAAATTCATAGTTAAATTTTTAAACTAAAGCGGTATGTAATGTAAGTAAATTAATATTTTCTACCGAATACTTAATATCAGGACTATTGTTGACGAAATTCTGTTAATCCTTTACAAGCGGTTTCCCTATCAATTTAAATTTTGCTTTTATGTAATTTTCTGAAAATAATATCAGCATTAATACAAGTAAAATACAATAGGTATATCAATAATTGTATGTACTGTATTTTTGTTCTTCAAATATCAGATTTTGTATTTCTCGTTCAAAATTCTAACTTCTAGTTTTACCGTAGTTGATGACTATTTGTATAACACTCGAGCAATATTTTCTTTTTCGGTGACTACCCGAATATTTCATGTTCTGAAACAATGCCAACCGCTTTTCAGCAGGTTCTGGAAAATGAATTACATTATAAGATTAGAACGGTTTAGGTATGAATTTTCTTTGTATAACAACACAGGCAGTCGAATAATGTATCCGTGATCCACGGTTTTTGTTTTTTCAATCTTAGGTTGATAAATTGTCCGAACGGCAATACGATAATAGAAACATAATAACCACTTGGGCTGTTCAGAACAGTGTGTATACCGGTTCTCGTCTTCGAATTGGTTGGCGGTAAAGTGTTACCACTAAGCAACGTGGTCGCACAATTTTGTGTAGTACCGTCGAACGACACTGGTTGTGCAGCAGATAATCAGTATAGAGTTTAAATATAGGTGACTCGGGACCGAGCAGCAAAACAAGCGGCGAGTGCGCTTAATGCACGACGCACGGGCGAGCGGTGTACGCGCGCGGGTAGGGTGAACGGGAACGAAGATGAAGGTCGTCTGGGTATGACATCGCGGCGCGATGGGAGGGCGGCACCGAGCGCTCTCGGCCGCCGCGTGTTCCGCAACAGAATGGGAAATAATAATAATAATAATAATAATATGATATTTACGCGCTGCAACGCCATCTGTGTTGTGTGCACCTCGCGTAGCCACCCGTCGCCCAACTGTTTCCTTGCACCGCCGTCCGGCGCGCGAGATTAGCGACTCTTGAACGACGCATGTGCGCGTCCCGGCAGGCTACGCGAACCGACGTCAACGTGCAAAGGATTTCCGTTGCGCTCCGGTATTACATTTATTTTTTGTTTCTACTCGTTTATCGGTTCGCGCGCTTCGGTCATCGCCACCCCTCGCCATCCCCCGAAAAACTCGCGCGCCGCGCTCGGAGTCGTGAACCATTGACGAACACCGATATCCTCGCGTGGCGGCGTACACGCGAGGACGCCGTTGACCTTTTATCCGTCGACGACCTTAAACCCTCAAGGTCGTATTTCTGACATTTTATCTTTCCCGCGCCGCGCCCGTCCGTGTCTGTCGATAACGTTGTTATTGTTTTATTTTCGTTGTAGCCGCACCGCAATGCGATTATCACCTCTGTCCGTACAACCGCTCCGTCACGCGCTTTTTCCAAACGATTCGAAATCCCGATGCCTCGTCTTTTCCGGTTTCGTTCGATTTTTATTGTTGCCGATTGCGCCTGCGGTGCGGTTGTACATACGAACACGCGTATGGGGTGTTATACGTGTTCCACGACGCGCACAAATCGTTGTTTGCACTCCGGCCGCGCGCTGCACTGTCTGGACACGAATGACGCGCGTACTTGTGACTCGTGAATGAGTTCACGTTCGATGCGCTTTTTTCTTTGACTCTGTTATTATTGTAAACAAATAAATAACTCATCCGAACGGTTACTACGTGCCCCGCGAAAGCCGCAACAATTACAATATCCGTCCAGACGGAAACAACGCCACATCCGCGGTCGTATCATAGCTCCGCAACGACGAACAGCCCTAAATTAATAAGAAAATATTACGTAGAACCCCCGCAGTGTTTTGAACACTTATATTGCACCTAATTGTTTTTAACAGCTAACAATAGGTACCTACATTTGTTTTTTTTTTCGTGCGGATAAATATTTTGTTGAAATAACATTTGTCGAGGAACAAAACGTTAGACTCGACATACTTGTGATTTATACGAATTTTAAACGTTAAAACTTTTCTCCAGTATTATCACAATCTCTACTTCGACTGAATCCAAGCGCCCTCTTCTTCGTCATATTTTTCCAACGTAGCTAAATCTTCTCTGGCTTCTGAAAATTCTGCCTCTTCCGTACCTCCACCAACGAGCCCGTGCTTCAGCAATAACCGTTGTAGTGGACAACATGCGTTTCATGGTCATTTCACCGACAGTGAATTGTTCGTAACAATGAAAATATTAGATTTCGAATACGATCCAGTCAATAATTTCTTTGCCAACAATGCAATGGCCACGAGCGCAGTTATCAGCTGCGCGTTGTCTTCGCCACCGGTCAATTGTTCTGGACGGAAAAGCTGTACACATGTACGGAACTTTGTTTAAAAATCAAAACCGAACACCATATGAATTCGAATAAATGATTACACGTTTTACGTATTTTTTTTCTTTTTTTTTCTTCAGAACGTCCGATCCAACAGCCAACTTGGGACCGAGCGGGCAGCAAAACAAGCCTCGTGCGCGTTACATAACGTTAAGGCGCGCGTACACACGAGCGTGTTCTCTTGTACACATTCTGCGCAAACACGACCGAACGAAATTCATCCGAGTGCTCGAATACGTTGGGCCCGCGCGACGCACGAAAAAATACGCTCTCCGTGCGTACGCGGTTTTTATTATTGTGCGCGCGCGCACGCGCAACAACAAGCGCGGGCCCGCACCTCCGTCCACCGTGCGCCTCGCCGCTCGCTCGTCCCGTGCAACAGCAGAGCGGCTGCTGCCGACACACGGGTACACACACGCGCACAAACACCGCGCCGACGCCGCCGCCGACAGTCGTAGTCGCGGACGCGGTCGCGTTTAACCGTCGCCGTTCGTCCATCGTCTCGACGCTGCCGGAGTGCCGTTTTTTTTTTTCTATTCTTTTCGTTTTGCACTCGTCGACCGTTCAATATTTGATTTTTCGTTTTTTCCCCCTCGTCGAATCGGTTCGGTTATCGCGTAAATTCTTCCCGTCTCGACCGCTCAGTCGGTTGTAAGTCGTCCCGATCGCCGGAACATCGCGTTTTGCGTTCGCTGGTGCGTCAACTTCGGGTATCGTTCGCGATACCGGCAATAACGAGTCGTCCTGCGTTCAATGATTTCGTTCCGCGTCCAACAAAGGATTATACCCGAATAATAGACGTGTGCCGCGCAGACGTCCCGTGAAGTTTCACTTAAGAGCCTGGGATATATCTACGTTTAACAGGTAAACAACGAACGTGACTTAGAAAAATCGGACAAGACAACGGTGTATGTGTGGTGTACACATTTCGAGGGTTTAACGTGTGTGTGTTTGCGTGTGTGCAATGGGACCAGTTTTTGTGTTGTTGCGAAACCGCATTATATGTGTGTCGCGGTCGTGTACAATAATTTCAAGTAGTCGTCGGAAGGGATTAATTCGCCCTTAACCCCACTGCGACGTTAGTAATATTGTGTGCAAACGTATTTATTTCTTTCTTGTCGTTTTTGCCATTGCGTATGTGCATGTTTGTCGTTGGAAATGGACACGAGGAGTTGTTCGGACGAGGTAGGGGGAAGGACAGGAATCGGTGATCAGGGGGGAGGAGGGGGGCCCGTAACGGACGTGGCCAACAGAGATGCCGGTTGACGGCCTCTAGCTGCGGATGTTTTGTAACGGTATCGTGCCATTCTTTGTGAACTCTAGTCGTGTCCCCCTTCGCCGCCGCCGCCGCCGCCGCCACCGTTGTTTCCCGTCACCGCGGTCGCCGCCGCCGCCGCCGCCGTTGCAGCAGTCGCTACCATTACCGCCACCCTATTCCTCGATTTTCAGACCGTTGACCTTGAACGCGCGGACGCTCTCGCGCGCTCACCGTCGCCGCCGTCGCCGTCATCGTCCTTATAAGGGCCACGTAACGTTATTTATTTCCAGTCGTGTTCGAAATCGATTGTATAAACCGACCGCGGGGGGAAATGGTGATAGAAACGGATTCAGGAATTGATAACAAAAAAAAAACATTATCGTGCGCGCGTGCTCCCGAACATTTCGGTGCATACGATGCACTCGACGACATCTAAAAAGAGCTGCCACACGATACTATCGATGTATAACGTTACACGGGAGAGCAGTGTGTGTTGTTCCGTGAACACACGCTCCCGTGTTAGCATGCACTCCCGAAATCGTGGTAAAGTCAACGTCCGACACACGTCTCCCCACGGTCTCGGTCATCCTTCCTAGGCCACGTCAATCTACGGTCAAGGTCGCTGTTATGCGTTCGATGATAACATTTTGACGAAGAAAAAATTGTTGTTTCGTTTTTTATTTTCAACAACTGCCTGCTCCAAACCGATTCGTTATTCAAATCACTACTACAGTATAAGCGCTAATCAGTTTTGTGTTTTTAGACTTTTTCTGCGTTCATCGCTCTTAGTCGGATACGGTCATAAGATGTCTTTAAGATTTAAATTTTATGCTGTTCAATTTTTTAAATAATAATTGTTTACGCTTATAAATGAACTTTTTCACGAAGACGTCTACGATTGCTGATCATAAGAAATATTTATAACTCAACGTGCGATAATAATATTTTATAAATATCATCAACGTTTCTGTAGTCACGCGTCCGTTACATTATAATAGAATTTGAACAGCGATTTTCATAGACTTTGAAGTGAACAAATGTATTAGACTGCAGCAGCGTCTTAAAGTAGTCAAATTGTTAGAACCGATTTTAGACGTGTCGTGCGGGGAACGACTCTCAACGAAATGATGATATCATTTCTGTTTTTCATCGTCTGTTATTATAATTTTGTTAGAGTGATGGTCTCGTAATTACCTAGTATTGGTAATTGTTGTCGCGTCGGATGATCAATACGACCTTGTCCCATTCGCTGTAAACCAATATATACATAATATATATTAAAATATTCATACATATATGTAAATTAAAATTATATATATATATATATATATAAGTAAAAAGCCCTTCTAAAATATAATATGTGATTTGACGCAGGTTCAGTAGATTACACCGGCATGTCGTGGTGTACATAAAAATATATTATATACATAATGATAATATGCTAATAATTATACTCTTAACGACTGCCGCCATGGACTAGACGACGATTATATCGTTGATAAACAAAAAATTACTTGCTCGCCATGCGTCAGGCTTCGGCAATCGCTTCTTCGTTTTCCGTTGACCACTATAGCTGCAGCTGTATTTGTAGTCTTGTAATAGTGGGCGCTGTTGTACAGTGCAAAGCGGAATATTTCGAAGCTAACGGGTTTCTTCCGAATTGGTCACGTTTATAACTAATTATTAAGCTGCGCGTAGAACCCAGTACAATCTTACTAGCAATAGTGATGTAATTAAGGCCCGGTTTGGTAAGAGTAATACATTTTTCACACACATATTTTATTGGTGAATTGTTTAAATAATTTAAAAAAAAAATTTTATGATGTCTACATTTTCGTCATAGTCTTTAAATTATAAATGTAAAAAGTAACTTAGTACGTAGTTTTAATTAAAGTTCTACTATAACGTAGTTCAATCTTAAATTTATTAGGTGTTTATTTGATTTCCAGCAGTGGCGTAATTTTTATTTTTCTTCGTATGGTTAAAAGTTAACCGATATATTTGGTTCGTAAGGCTACAGTATTATCAAAAATATAACGACTAATTTGATTAATGAAATATGACAAAATTAAAATTTACATGGATTTATAATAGATCATAGCCCATGACATTATATTTGCATTCCATAAACCACGTTGACTAACATCAAGTTTTAATTTGGTGTAGGTCCGTTTTATGTAGTATTATGATAATTTAATTGATTCTATAATTTACAGGTATAAAAAATATTTTACTCATTAGATAAGATATAGTTATTTAAAAAAATCTATTCAAACATTATCAACCAAAGATCTTATTAATAAGTAGCAAAAACATATTGGTCTTTTGGCCTTTCAAACTATAAATTGCAGCAAGTACCCTCACAGCTTGTGTAAATTGTTTTCAGAGTTGACACTATTGAAGTACAACATAATACTATATTATAGTATAATGATAATATGAAGTATTTTATTTGTAATTGTTCATAAAATTATGAAATACACATTAACAAAATCAGAAGGGATTATAAGTATGAGTGGTATTACCAATGACTATGATGAATACAAAATAGCATTACGAATTTTCTCAGAATTTAATTACTGTTACTGAATAATAATTACATAACAATACCTTAAATACATTTTTATGTAATTCGTCCTTATGGAGTACACAGTTAATACGTCCTATATAATTTTTTGTATGGCTGGAGAGCAAATGGCGTGTAATGTCTGCCGAGTTTTTAGCAGTTTTTTTTGTGCCATTGGCCGTTGTTCTATTGTAGTGAACAAGAAAAAACCGATGTGTCGACAAAATTGACATTAAGACGCATTAATAAAATATGGAACTGTATGTGTTCAATCGAATAGTATAATATCGCCGCTGCCATCGAAATGCAGCTGTCTACCTCCTCGGAGCAACAAAACCGTAAAATTCCGTTCGATGAAATTACAGTGCACATAAAAAAAACACGTCTAAAACTTATTTCGACCTTAAACCGTTATACGTGTCGTGTACAACGTAATAGATGGTCGAACGCGTTAAGTAAAAATGATACGTAAAATACTCTTTAGAACAAAGACGATCGATAATAGCGCTTTACTTTCTCTTTATCGAACAAAATCACCCAACGATCCAACTTGTATTCAAAACCGATTGTTTAAAATTTTTCGATCGCGTTAGATGTTATATGTATTTAGTTTACCTCGAACATTGGACTTGCGAACATAGGATGTTTCAACAGGTGTTTCGTTTAGTTTTTTGATTCGATTCGATTCGCATATCCATTTTAACGTGACTTAGCTAATAACCAAACTATTATAATTTTTAACATTTTCGTAGCTATTTAGTAACGATATCATGACATTTATGCATAAACTTGTTTAAATTAATTCAGTAATTTTTCAAAACAGGTTATATCGTTTACTCATTGCAATGTGACTTGTTGGTATTGGTTAATATGTATCTCTTTAAAGAACTTCTGCACATTTTTAAAATAATTCATTTGCCCGTGACCCAAAATCAAAATTTAATTAATATTCTCTTTTTTTTTTTTCATAAATTATAATCATCAAAGTTTTGAGCTATTGATTTTGTACTATTATGTATTGTATTTATTATTTGATGGCCCTCTATACACATTCTAAAATGAGAAACAAAATTATAAAACTTATGGATATTAACATTAATTTTTAACATTTATGGAATTGAAATTAATTATCTATATTACCCAAAATATTTTTAAATATTTCAGAGGTTAACATTATAATATTTAATTAAATTGTGATACTCTCAAACCTATTAGTTATCTACTTGTTTACCATTTATCTAACTGTCTACTAAATTTAATAAAATCTCAAGTCAATTTTTGTACCGTGCCTGATGCGCTATTAATTATTATTTATTGTCTTATATATTTTAAAAATGAAGGTTGACGGGGTTAGAAATGTATTAATTCTTTAGTAAAAACGCACAGAAAACAGTGGTATTTTAAAAAAAAAGGAAACTTGTTTAATAATTTGATAAATTTTCAAATTATATAAACTACCTATATATAATTACATAAATATATTGCTTTGCATATTTTAAGAGCTATTTATTGCTTTATATTAAGTATATTTTATGCAAACGTATTAGGTAAAAATAAAAAATAATGACGCATTAAAAAGTTTATGTTACAATGTTGCGTATATATTTTTAAACGTGAATTTTTATTGATTCAAAATACATCAATGATAAAAAAGAAAGAATAAATAAATATTCTTTCAGTAATGTAGTAATTTAAATTTTTTCGCTCACAAAAATGTAATTGAAACCTAAATCGCACATAAATTATAATTTTATTTTTATTGCTAAATTATAGTTCAAGTATACGCATTGATGAAAACGATGTTGTGGAGAATTTTGCGTTGTCATTCAAGTCTTGCATTGATTTTCATAGAATAATAATAAGAATTCAATGGCTATGTTTACTAATGGTTACGATCGTTAACAATCTAATACAAAATGATGAATACACCTAATGTCATTATTCGATTTATTTAGAATAAAAAAAAATGTTCACGTATGGAAAGAATATTTAATCTTTTTTTATCTTTTACTGTACAAGGTATGTGAAGCCATAGTTGGG